ATAAACGGAAGGAGTAATAAGAAGTCGGAAAAGCAGGGGCCCCCCTTTGTCTCAAACAAGTACAAACAAAGGTGTATGGGTTTTAATACTTAATTTTATTTTATTTATATATATATATATATATACAACACCTGCATTATATAATATACCTCATAAATGAAGCGCAGACATAACTAAATGTAGAGATACACCGATCTCCCAACCACCATTTGCTCCACCACCTACCTAGTTCTTTCCCTCACCAAAATCAGTACACTCACTACATCTCAAAATAAATAAATTAATAATAATTAAATAGTATAAATAAAAAGGCCAATATTAGATTAACTTCACATCATGCACGGGATAAAATTACGTTTATGCTACACCCAGAAAAAGTTACAGTGACTGTTTTTTAATGTTTATCTACATACATCAATGATGGTGTCTATGTGTGCATATGCGTTCGGTTCGGTGTTTGGTATTGATCTCTGGCATACGGTACTTATTTTAAATGTTTTAAGATTATACCAAATTGTAAAATACTTATAGATTGATATTTTTTTTATTTACAAATTAGCCTCTAATGATAATCATTTTTTTTGTTTTCAGGACCGATTATTGAAATTTGAATGTCAAATTCAAGAATTAATTAGTTTAAATTTTTTCTTTACATTTTTAAAAAATAAGAAAATATTTTCGGTTTTACCAGCACCAAACCAAAAACACCGAATTAATTCGGTAAAAAAACCGTACCGAACTGAACAGTTCGGTTCAGTAAACAATACAAAATTTCAAAGTACCGAAATTTCGCTTTACCCAAATTCCGGCATGGTTTTACCGAATGAACACTTTTATATATAAATGATAAATGATAAATATCTACCCGATAAATTAATTTCACCCATTGTAGCAGAATCGTGTTAGCGAAAACAAATTAATTAAAAGGTTGTCTCAGTAAATAATATGAATAATGATAATAGACCACTAGCTACATTAACATATATGTACCTAGGAATGCACTATAATTAGTTCCATGTGATGATAATTATTTGTAATTAGCTGTAAGTCCCTAGATTTATCACTCTAATGTATATAAGTTATTTTACCGACTATTTCACCATTGACCTCTTAAAACCCTATTGTTATAGCTATACGAAAAAATCTTCACTAACGTAACTCCTCTTTGTTTGTCTCTTCTCTCTCTTTCTCCGACGAAGTTTTAATTTGGCGACCGTACGCATTTTTGGTGTGTATAAAGACTATGAACCTTCATTAGTAGTTGTGGCGAAAAACGAGTGCCGGATGAGTGAGTCTTCAAATACCTTATACGTCTTTTCGAATAATTTGTGATATTTCGTTCAAGTTCAAACATAGAAGGCGGAGAGATTTTTGTCGACATAGAAAATTAAGAAAGTAAGATCCTTAGATGATTGAACAATGCTGGCAAGGGCGATTTAGATAATTAATGGTATGTTTATATTATTCACTTGATGCCCCGATAGCGGTCTTGCCTTCTAAACTTTATTTCTCGTAAAGTTAAATCCAGTTAATGAATTATTCATTTTATTCACTTCATGCAACATGCATACATTTATAGAATGTTGCATTTGAATTTTGAGATTTGTTTTGTAAATATACGAGTAAAATATTAGGGGTGTAATTAAGGAAATATTAAATATCTTCTTTGGTGTTAACGAGTATGGCGGGTCAAGCCCGTTAAAATATTATGGAGTTTTGGATTTACTAAAGGTAATGACACTTCACCCGTAACACTCGAGTAATTTGACACCTTACTTTTACAAGTTAATCGAAAATCACCTACGAATTAGTTAATTGTAAGACTTTGTGGTTCAAAACAAATCTCAAATTTGTATCGCAATGCCCTTTTCCAGCTGCCTTTTGCACGAAGTTTGAATCTATTTCTCGTTCCAAAGCTACATAAAAAAATTGTACGTTTTTTTCGTAAGTTTTTGTCGGTCATCAACTAATAATAACGAGTAGTTGTAATATAAACTGTAGTATGATCGAGTAGTAGACAGAATCGCTATTGATCATTGTACAGCTTTTACAACTAGTAATGACAAAGAACGTAAAATGCCAAAGCACTCGAAACTTTAGAGTTTAAAGATTTACCAAATTTCGATATCAAACCTTAGATTTTAAAATTCAAATTTACATGTGTTTCGGAAGTGACATATATAATACATGCATGCGTACATACAGTGGCGGATCCACCTATGGTTTAGGGTGTGCAGTTGCACACCCTTGAGTTTGGACAAATATTTTTGTTATAGATAATTTGACGAAAAAGGCTGTTGGTTGAGGTGGTAAAGGTATTGTAAATTCACTAATAGGTCGTGGGTTCGATTCCCCACTCTCTCAAAAACTGAATTCTTTTTCAAATCTTAACATTTTCACATTTTTTTTTCTTTAAATATTTCCACAATTCACCCAAAATTTGTAAATTGTAAATTTTTGGTCCACTATTTTTAACATTTTCACCTTTTTTCTCATTTTCACATTTTTTTTCTTTAAATATTTCCACAATTCACCCAAAATTTGTAAATTGTAAATTTTTGGTCCACTATTTTTAACATTTTCACCTTTTTTTCTCTTTAAATATTTCCACAATTCACCCAAAATTTATAAATTGTAAATTTTTGGTCCACTATTTTTATAAAGTGATATTTAAATTTTTTATTCTACAATTTCGAACCCCCTTGGCAAAAATCCTGGATCCGCCACTGCGTACATATATATTTTTTAAAATTGGCCTACATCCGAAACCAACAGGAATAAACCTCCCGCGCATATTATCTATAAATCTAAGTAATAATTAACTACAGCAGCTTCGTGGGGGGTTAATTTACAAGGAAATGTTTGATGTAATTAAGCGGATGCTCAATTAATCGATTTTGCAGGATTGACGAGAAAATGAAGAATAAAAATTCAGTCGGGCCGGGATTTGTTTTCAGTAATTATGGGCTCGGACCTTGAGGCCCGTGGACACTGAGTTAACCGTTGTTTCACGGTTTGGTTATTACAAAAAATTTAGAGAAGACAAATTAGGTGGGAAATCGACCGGTTAGGGGTTGCGGTCAAAATTTCGATGACTTTTAATCTTGAACGTTAATCTTTAACCGTAAATAAATCACGAATTTAGATTTTTTTAAAAAAGGAACCGGACAGTTCATGGATCATATTAACAAATCTAATTGACTTATTGGCATAAAGACTGACGTTGACGTTGAGCATTGGAGGGATTTATGTCATATCAACCTATGTCTTAGTACATATGTATTTATCTTGCAGTCTTAGCCGCTTAGGACTTCAAAAACACACACACACACACGATCTCTCGCTCTCTACGTGGACATGTTTTCAGCCATATCGTCAGCTTGCTTGTAATGACCTACACGTCGCATTCCTCGTTAATACTCCAAGAAAAGTGATACGATATCAATTACCAAAGTCGAAACTTAGGCGATATTTCCATGTTTGGAGGAACAATAATTGTTTGAATTGGTTTTAAAAACATTTGTGCAAAGTTTAACAAATATATATTATTTTTTTGGGGAAAATTAAGAAGCAGAAAAAACTAGCGGCGAAAGTTGGATGTAGCCGATCACAATCGACCTCTTCAATTTTCTTTTAATATACGGCACCACTTCCAAAAATTTCGGAATCCAAAAAGTCGAAACCACTTCCAAAAATTCCGGAATCCAAAAATTTGTTCCAAATACAGATGCTTCGAAAATTTCGAATATTCATAAAATCACATAACTATAAAAATTTCGGAAAGTTTCGAATTTTTTTGGAAATAGTACTTTTATAAAAACCAATAGCATGGTTTTTCACCAGTGACTCGTTATGAATCTAAAAACTAAAAAGCATTCAAGTCATGTGTATAATCCACATCTATCACGGATATAACCGAAATATATAAAACAAAACTTGTATAAATACGCAATTGTAAAGGTTGAATGTAACAAAATACATTAGATGTTGAATTAATTTTCCACCAACTATGATACATAATACAAATATAGTAGCGAAATAAATTGAAAATTCATATATTCTTTTGGAAATTAAAATTGGATGAAATTCCAAAATCCTACATTTATTTCAGATTTTAATTAAAAAAATCAAAAAAAATGGAAATCGAAACTTAGGAAATAGAAACAAAAAAAAAACTGTTCCAAAATTGAAAAGTTTCTAATGGAAATGGTCGGAAATTGAAAATTCTGTAAATTCGGATGTTTAATTTGGAAACTAAAATTGGATGAAATCGGAAATATCCTACATATATTTCCAATTTTATTACAAAAATTCAAAAATATTGGAAATAGAAATAAAGCAAAAGAATTGTTCCTAAAATTGAAAAGTTTTTGATCGAAATGGTCGGAAATTGAAAAATCCGTTCCAACGAATAGAAAAAAACTAGAAAACATTAGTGTTCTTTTTCTTCAATAAATGTACATTCTTCTAAAGATATTAATAAACGTACATTTTCAATTTTAATAAATCGGAAATATCCTACATATATTTCCAATTTTAAGAAATAAAAATCGAAAAAAATTGGAAATGGAAATTTAGGAAATAGAAATAAAACAAAAAACTGTTCCAAAAATTGAAAAGTTTGTAATTGAAATGGTTGAATTGAAAAATCCGTTCCAACTTACACGAATAATAGAAGAGAATAATAGAAGAAAAAGAACTAGAAAACATTAGTGTTTTTTTTCATTAAATAAATGTAGATTCTTCCAAAGATATTAATAAATGCAAAAGTACAAAATTACCCTCAAAGGGGCCATTAACTGCTTTCGCAGAATCTAGACATCGACGGTCCAGATTCATCGATGAGGCTCCAAATTTGAAAAAGGTTTGTTGGAGAGAAGCATTGAACGTAGATGATTGAATTGATTGTCCCCTTTGCGTAATCCTGTGTAGTGTGTACACTACTTTCTCTCTCTTCATTTTCTCTCTCCTCCCCCAAACAAAAAAAGCTCCGACAAAACCATGGGCAGTTTCTTCCACTCTCTCTCAACTTGCCCAAAACCAACAACCTAAAAAACCAGCACCTCCTCATATAAACGCCCACATTTTATTTCTTCCCTTTTATAGATTTAATTTCATTTTCCTGTTTCCACAAATTCAAATTCATAATGCAGTAAAATTAGATTGGTCGGCGTTTCTTGTTTCTGCTCAATTAAGAATCTTTTTTTTTTCTGTCTGTTTGCAATTGATATAATTCTTGAAAAAGGTATATACATATTTATATATATATGGAATCGAATCCTATGTCCGGCGCCGGAATTTATTCCAATGTTCAACAACCCGGTATGTTGGGCCTAGAAATGTCACTCCACCACCACCACCCTTTGCCGCCGCCGCCGAATCAGCAAAACCCTCACCTCATGCCGCCGCAGCACCACCACCCCATGCCGTCCTACGGCCACCACCACGACGCCGCCGCCGCCGCCGAGTATTTACACCCCCAAACTCAGCAGCAACCCCCCAAACAAAACACATACCCATCTGCACCGAAATCAAAAACCCAACCTCTGACCCTGAGCGACGACGATGAGCCTGGATTCGCCGCCGATAACAGCGCCGACGACGGGAAGAGGAAAATGACTTCGCCCTGGCAGAGAATGAAGTGGACCGACAACATGGTCAAGCTGCTGATCATGGTGGTGTTCTACATCGGCGACGAGGTTGTTGTTGGTGGTGGTGGTGCCGCCGCCGAGGGGGTGGACAAGAAGAAGGGCGGCGGTGGGGCTCTGCAGAAGAAGGGGAAGTGGAAATCGGTGTCCCGGGCTATGATGGAGAGAGGGTTCTACGTTTCCCCGCAGCAGTGTGAGGACAAATTCAACGATTTGAACAAGCGGTACAAGAGGGTTAACGACATTCTCGGCAAAGGCACCTCTTGTCGTGTCGTCGAGAATCAGACCCTCCTCGATTCGATGGATCATTTGTCGCCCAAAATGAAGGAAGAAGTGAAGAAGTTGCTCAATTCCAAGCACTTGTTTTTTAGGGAGATGTGTGCTTATCACAACAGCTGCGCCCACGGTGGCGGCAGCAGTGGAGGTGGCGGCGGTTTTCACCATCCGCCTATAGAGACGGAACCCTGTTTCCACTCATCGACGGAAAATGCAAATGCACCGGTTATTAACAAGGGTTCTAAATTGGATAATGATGATGATGATGACGATGATGATGAGAGCAATGATGATGATAGTAATGATGACGTGGATGATGACGTGGACGATGATGTAGACGACGATGGAGGGGGGTCGAGGGACGATGACGTGGCGAAGAAGAGGGTGAGGAAGGGTGATTCGGAACTAACGAACTCGGGTTTGATTCAAGAATTGGATGCTGAGCTGGCGAGGGTGTTGCAGGATCCGACCAAGGGTGCGATGGAGAAGAGGCGGTGGATGAAGACGAGGCTGATGAGATTGGAAGAGGAGAGCGTGGGGATACAGTCGCAGTCGTTCGAGATTGAGAAGCAGCGGTTGAAGTGGTTGAAGTTCAGTAGCAAGAAAGAGAGGGAGATGGAAAAGGAGAAGCTCACGAACGAGAGGCGCAAATTGGAGAACGAGAGAATGGTGCTACTTATACGACAAAAGGAGTTCGATTTGTTGCAGCATTATTATTCGAACAAGAAGAGCGACCCCTCTTCCATAACCGGATGAATTCAATTAATCAATCTGCTATTCATAGTTAATAATGTGGAATTAGATATTAGGCTTAAACAAAAAAAAGGAGGTTGTTAATTTAGTCTCAATTTTTCAAAGTTTGAATTAGAAAAGTAACACAAGTTTTGTACAATAGTGTCCTTTCTCTCACCTTCGCTCGGTAAACAATAACCCCTAACCTGGTCGGGTCGCCCTCATTGCTGCTTTACCGGTGGTTGAACCATCATTTTCGCATGAGAAGGTTGGAATCCCCACTGCCACATCAGCTCGTCGTACTTTTGCTCAAGTTACTTCACCTTCTACGACATGGTTTAAGCCCCATACATACATACTGTCTTCCTACGGAGAATCCTATTTTCATCAACGATGAACCTGCTTGTATCTTTACCCCCGTGGAGATGGATTTATCAATAACCATGCTTTAATTATGAAGGTTTCCAGTGGGCGGGCGGCCTAGTTTGTTCGACATATTTAGAAGCATTGGAAACTTAGAGAAACATCTTAATAATTCGTTCATGCCACGATGTCCAGAGATTCGTACATCATTGGAACTTCAATGTTTCGAATTGCACACCGATCGAGATAGGAATACAAGGTATTATCATGCTGCTGCAATTAATTAAAGACCCAATTAAGGAAGAGAAATAGCATCACTTTAAATTTGGATAACCTAAATTATTGGTGGTAAAGCAGTAGATTATTCTAAAGATTTATTGTTATCACCCTGACAATTCTCTCTTTGATCATATTACCTCAAAAGTGAATCATGCTCTACTAATGAACAAATCTCAAGGCTACCTGATTTGGTAGAATTCTAGAAGCAATTAAAGGGCTTAATGCTAATAGTGCTTCAGGTCAAGATGGATTCATTGATTATTTTTTCGTCCCATGTTGAAACATTAAAACATGACTTCTATGATCTAGTGGCGGTTTTTTAGGGAGATTATTTGCCTCAGGGACTTTCTACTACTTTGCTGGTACTTATTCCTAAAATTTTCGAGCCTTCTTATATGGTGATACGCGTAAAATCTACGTACGAAAAAACCGCAAGTATACAGTATTGCATTTTGTAGAATAGTGAATTTCAGATATCGATTCACAAGGAATTAAGTTCCTAAATTTATCAAGTACCGTAATTATACTATCTTAAACTTTATCTAGACGGATGAAGGAATGGGGCATGAAATGAAGCTAAGAGGAAACAAAAAAAAAAACAACGGTCCGCCAGGGTAAAATCCACCAGTATACTATTGATAGGGATCTTAAAATTCCAAATCTAATGTCAATTCAATATTCGTTAACCCATACACTAAAATACCTTAACTCCCGTCTCTAGTGTAGTTAGAGTTTACCCACAGGTCCGACGTCTTCGTTCAAGACCTGATATTAAGAGAGCATTTATGTCAAGTCCTTAAGGGCTACCCGAGGTGCATCACGTCTTCGTTTCCAAAACCCAAGCTATGTTTTCCTAAAATCAAACTAGAAATCCTCTCTCGAGTTCATTCCCATTTACAATCAATACAACTGTTGGCCAAACAATCGAAAAAATTTAATACAAGAAAACATAAACATAATCAAAGAATAACTAATATATCGCATATCTGGAAATCAAAATCAATATATACAAGGTTTCATTTTCCTAAAAGAAAATGTCCAGTTCATGACAAACATAGCATCAAAATGAAAAACACGAGAAATCATAAACTAAATGTAAAGAGAGCTTATGAAAAAACCGAGTCGAAACCCTCGTCGAAGATTACCGCAAAGAACTCGCGAAAACCAAAGCAAAAATTGAAGAATAACCGAAGAAGAGTTCTTTAGATGCAAACATGAAAAAGAGACTTTCTATTCATAGTAAGAAAATAAAGAAAAATGTCTCGTCTCGATTTATGTGCCCAGATCGCGATCTGGGCTTTATAGATCGCGATCTGGCAGCCTCGAAAACTGCACACCGCTTTCTCAGATTGCAGTACGGGAATGTTGGATCGCAATCTGGTTCTTGATAAAAAAAACGTTTTGTGAGACCTCCCCAATATCGCGATACAGGAAGGATGGATCGTGATCTAGGTCTTGATCGAAAAACGTTCTGTAAGTGACCCCAGTTCGCGATACAGGAAGAGTGGATCGTGGGTGGCCTCTGCGTCAACTTCAAACCCTGTTTTGGCCCTTTGTTAGCCCGAATTTGAAAATTTTGCATTTCACAAAAGTTGTAGACTTTTAAGTTAGCCGGAGGTTATGCTTGAAATACCAAACACTACCACAACCCGCGAGAATGCATTTTTGCACGTGTTTGGTTTGATCCTCGGCTTCGCTTCCAATATCATTTTGAGTCGGCAAAAATAGATTCTCTTTACCTAAAACATAAATAAAATAAGAAACGCATAATATGTACAAATAAAGCCGAAAATTCGGACGAACGAAGACCAAAACTCGAAGATTCGATAAGTAAAAATCGTGCAAAACAAACAGTTATCAAATGGCTAGAATTCTACCTACAATTTTTCAGAGGCAGAAATATTTAGACACGGCCATGGGCCGGTTTTCGTTCCGGAACCGGCCTGAACCGTTGACCGGTGAACCGGCCCGTCGACCCCGGGACGGGCCCGGTTCTAGATATAGGTGAACCGTGAACTGCCGGGCCGGCCCGGCGGTTCACTCGAATTTATTAAAAAAAATAAAAAAAAATAAAAAAAAAAAAACTGAACCGGCCCCGTGAACCCGCCGTTATTTGGTCTTTTTTGAAAAAAAATTCCCCTCATTTTTTCCTATAAATACACCCACACCCCATTTTTTCTTATAAACTTAAGTTCTAGTCTTTTTATTTATTTCCTTTTGTTTTTTACCTATTTAAAATTAATTCTTTTAATTTATTTATCCATCAAGTATTTTCAAAAAATATATAAATACAAAATATAAATTTTCGGGCCGGCCCGAAATCGTCCCGGAACCGGAGTGAACCGGCGGGCCGACCCGGCCCGCCGAACCGTGTGTTGTACGGGCCGGTTCCGGTTCCGGAAAAAGTGAACCGCGAACCGGAGTGAACCGGCCCGAAACGGCCCATGATCATGTCTAGAAATATTCATGAATCTATTGCTTTGCCTCAAGATATGGTCATGGATCTAGATAGAAAATGTGAAGGGAGAAATAATATTGATACGATCCTAGCAAGCTCAAAGATGAAGAATTGAAAGAAGAGAAAGGGAGTGAGATTAATGGAGCCATTTGTGTTCGAATTGAAGTATAAAGGCTTGAATCAGGCCTTTGAAGAGTCGTTGTTGAGGAATTCAAAAAAATGAAGAGGATAGTTCGTTGGGCAAGTCGAATTCCATGCATTCGAGATTCTCGCCTATTCTGGCAGAGTTTACCATTTGAGTTATAACTTTCATGTTTTGAGCGAAGAGATATTCGAAGTGAAACAGTGTCAACATTGAGCTTTAATTGCATACACGTGCACAGCCTAATGTCTACGCGAGTTAAGAAGGGTAATCGAGAGGTCGACTTGAAAATTAAGTTAATTAATTTAAACTATGCACGTTTTTAATTTAGTATTTATTATGTTTTTATTATTTTAGAGTTCTTTATGGTTAGGATTTGTTTATGTATTAGTTTATTTTAGGTCTTTTTAGCACTTATAAATAGATTGCCAATTTCGCATATTAGGGAGTCATGTTTTAATACCATTTTGTTTAAAAAAAAATTGAATGTATAAATATAATATATGACAAGGTAAGACACATCAAACAATATAATATTATCATATTTTTTGAATATACGTAATATATAACTCTAATCTAATAATTAATTTATAATTCTAAACCACTTTATGTATAAAACGAAAAAATAAATTCGAAACCATTTTTTCACCAAATCCTATTTTTTTGTGGTGAAAAAATGGTGTTATCTCCCACCCGTATCATAACATTCTATAATTTCTCTATTTTTAGTGATAAAATAGTGTATTTGGTCTCCCGCCAATTCCATCAAATTTTACACCAAATAATAAAATATTAATATTTCACCATTTTACCATTTATAGAGAACATGATTTGGTTTGGTCTCCCATGGCATTTCACCAAATATATTACAAAATTATAAGTTTAATGTTAATTGTAAATTTAGTCTATTTTATTACCAAAATATTAATTATTGCCTAAAAACCTTACGACATAAATTAATCATAAAAACATTACAACATAAGTTAATTATAAAAATATTATAACATTCTTTTGGCCAAAAAAAATATTTCATTGATAATATGAGCCTCGTTAAAACATTGCTTGGCCTAACAAGGAAAAAGTACCCCTTATTAGCAGATGAGTTTCATTCACCATTATTATCATCATCATCTTCACCATCATCTATTTGATTACGTTTATCTCACAAATGTGCTACCAATCTTCTAATTAATACATTATGCTCTCCTCGATTTATCAGATTTCGATGTCGACTAAGAAAATTAACATATTTTGTATTATCTAAATCTCTTGAAAGCTTAGCAGGCGAGACAGTGGATAAACTTTCATAGTCAAGGTTTTCGTGTAGATATCCAATACGTTATTCTTCAACTATCATATTGTGCATAATAATGCATGCAAACATGACTTCATGTAAGTCTTCTTTCTTCCAAAATCGAGTTGCTCCTCTAATAATTGCAAACCGAGCTGGAAGAACTCCAAATGCCTGTTCTACATCTTTGCGATATGATTCATGTTTTTTGTACGAAATATTTTTTTTTTGGCACATTTGGATTCACTTATGGCTTGTACTAAAGTTGACCATTTAGGATAAATACCGTCAGCTAAATAATAGCCGACATTATAATTCCTACCTTTGATTGAATAAATTACTGGTATAGATGTACCATTGGTCAGTGCTTGAAATAAAGTTGATTTTTGTAAGACATTAACATCGTTATTTGTACCTGGGAGGCCGAAAAATGCATGCCATATCCAGGTATCATGCGACGCTACTGCTTCAAGTATGATAGTGCATTATTTATTGCGTCCACGATATGCCCATGCATGAGCTGTTGGGCAATTTTTCTACTCCCAATGCATGCAATCTAGACTCCCCAACATTCCAGGAAAACCAGTATTCTGCAACTTGGAACAACTTTTCAATGTCTTCCGC